AACCTTTTTTTTTTTTTTTTTTCTTTTTAATAAATACCTTGCCATTTTGCAGTAAAATAAAAAATAGTAATCAGTCATCTAGGCTAGCCATGTAATATAACTATATTCGCTAAAATATCGTTGATTATTCTAATTCAATTTTTAAGTAATTATTTTTATGTTATTCGTATAATTTAATGTTGCTTCTTCCCTCTAAATTTATTTATTATTAGTAAATAATATTTCCAAATTTCAGGAAATTTTCTCTGGCATAATCTTGAAATTAATTCTAGCAGTATGATGACATACCATCACGAAATTTAATGCACATATTTTTTCCTTATGTATGCTGCGAAATAAATATAAAATACCTCAATTTATTAAAATAGATTTCTTTCTTCCGTTTAGCTGCAGAATGTCTGCAAAAAAAAAGCCTTATTTTATTCCAGATTGGGAAGATTCTAATCTCAATCTTCAATGGAGAAAACAACTATTATAATTATATTTGTGTTTTCAAGTGTTAAGGTGCCTTTTAAGAACATACCTCACGCAAATTAAATTTACCTAAAATCTAACCTAACTATTTAGCATTGCGTTGTGATTTATAAGGACCGGATTAGCCTCGTGTTGAACTGGTGATGATCATGAGTAATAATTAAATAAAACATACATTTGTTATCCAATGTATATATCTTAAATTTTATTAAGTTTCTTAAGTGGAAAACTAAACAAAATTATCAAACAAAGTATACCAAGAATAATTAAGAATAAATGTCCTCTGGGATTTATTGAATAATTAAGTGAATTTGCTACACAATACAAGTAATACCATAATTAATTTACCTCTTAGCACAGCCAACGTACATTACGCGGATAGACTGGAATTTTCTTGAAACACACCTGGAAAACCTGGAAAAGTCAGGGAATTTCATTCTCCTGTTTGAGTGGCAACCCTGTTAAAAGTGTGATAATTATGGATTGCAGTATTTACTAGTAATGTTGATGTTTTTTAACATTGTTTCTTTCGATCGTATGTTAATGTATTTACTTATTTTTAGCTTCTACATTTTAGAATAGTGGTAGATTACAATGATTATTTCATGCACCTCTTTATAATCAATAACTTTATTTTTGTTACTGTACAGAAATAATTGAAATAATATAGTATACGATACTAAGCTAAGTACGTTAAAGTAAGCTCTTCGTTAATAGCACACGATGAAACTTTTTGTTTCTATTTATTATGAATTTCTTTATCTTTGCACATAAAAAGTAAGTGAAGAAAATAGAATATACTTAAATTTAATAAAAAATAAAACCTAATTTCCAACATTCATTTATTGCGATAATCTAATAAACCTACATAAGGCAATAGAATATACTTGAATTTAATAAAAAAAAAATAAAACCTGATTTCCAATATTCATTTATTGAGATAATCTAATAAAACATACATAACAGCAATATTAAAAAAAAACATGAATTACACAGTGTTTGAAAGAATAGATACAAAATGGAAAGTAATAAAGCTGCAATTTGCAATCAATAAAAAATATTTAGTGTTTTTTAGTATTACACAATTAAATATCATGTAATTATAGATTACAATATTTCATTATTTTATATTAGCTAGCCAAAGTTCGCAAATCTCGAGATGTTCGTTTATATAAGCATCCAGTATATAATGTACAGGTCTGCTTCTCCTGACTGTCGATGAGTTTTCTGCCATATATGTTGGACAGCCGTAAATTTGTCCTTACTTGAAAAATAAGAAATAAAGTCATATTTCAGAAGTGTAATAATTGCTAACATGTGATTTGCATTATTTCGGAAATATGATTTTTTAAAGTATATAAAATGCATAATGTAATAACTTACTTTATAGATTAGTTTCATTTTTAAATATTTTGCTATAATATTTATAAAAAAAGTATTAATTATTTTAACAAAATTTTAAAAAATTATTTAGCACATATTTTTAGTACTAATTAAATTTAATAAATCAAAAGTATTCATATTAAATTTACATTTCATTAGATGAATCTACCTTAGATTAATATATTTAGATGAAATAAAGTAATGAAACATTGCAAGGTAAATCTTATGCAGAATTTAGATTCTCGAAAGGGCAGATTTAGTCTCTTTTCATTCTAAAAAGTAATGCTGATGAACTAAAAAAAATGCTAAAACGACCATGTCTAAAAGCGGTCATCATAACATTTCAGCGAGGTCGACAAATTGCCAAGATATTTTGCATCTTTGCAAAGTTGTAAAGACATCATAAAAGTTACCACGACCACTTTGAAACCTCTCGGACCAGTTTGCAACGCCGTGTACTACTTGGGTTATTAGAAACGGTGCCATCCATTATAAAGGCCACATGCCAGTGATCACTGATTTCGCTGTAAAAATCACTCGAAAGTTTCGTAAAAATGTAGGGAAATTTGATAATCTTACTGTTATGATATTTTCTATGAAGAAAATAGAAAGAGCCCAGAGCCATTCTCTGACTATGACACTTCTATCTATACTGCCTATTGTTTTTACTTGGCTTAACTTATTTTACTTCAGTATTTTTTATCTCCATCCATGATCCATTCATTTATTACTTAATGTAAAGTTGTAACTTATTTTAATTTTTAATTCGTTTTTATTACCACTTTTTGTCATGTGGCTTAGCCTTCAAAATTGCTATGGTGATGAAAAGAATCTCCCCCTTCCCTCAGCCTTAAAATTCTTGCACTTGAGCCATCTGCTAAGGTTGCTTTTCGATGCTTACTTGTGATGGCAGTTTCACCACATCCCATCCATTTGCCTATTAGATCCAAACCTGCTCAGCTCATCTACCATCACCTTCACTGAACATTTTCTTCACTGCAGTTTACCATCGTACAAAATGCTATCATACTTCAACTTTGCTTATCATTTACACTTCACAAATGATATAATAAGGTTTATCTTGAACTTTTATGTTCTGCAGCATATGGTTTAGAAAATTCTTCGTTCCATAGAAATTGCACTTGTATGAGCATCTAAATGAGTCTGACAGAAACAAAACAAGCACTTTCCACTGGAGGCATGGTCAGTTTTTCTGCCATGTTATTGATACATAGTAATTGCCTACATTACTACAGAAAAAGCTTCATATCTTTCCAGTTTTTTTTTCATGGTATTTTTCATATTTTTTTAACTTTTGTAGATTGTTGACAAATGATGTTTTGTAAAAACTCACTATAATGCTTAACACTTACACTTCGTATGTTTGTAATAGAATTTGTTTGTTGTTAAATTTGTATATAGAACCTACAGTGTTAATGTATCTAAATAAATGAGAATTCTGCTAAAATATTTATATAACTTTTTTGATTAAAATTTAGGGTAGAGGCGGTCTTGGATCAATATTTGTATGGGCATCCGGTAATGGTGGAAGGCATAGTGATAGCTGCAATTGTGATGGTTACACCAATTCAATTTATACTATATCTGTAAGTAGTGCAACCCAAAGTGGTTTGATGCCATGGTACCTGGAACAGTGTTCATCTACGCTGGCAACAACATATAGCAGTGGAGCTTCTAGTAGAGATCAAAATATAGTATGTGATCTTCCAACAGCATGCCAGGATGATACTAGTCTGAATATAAGATTTTTTTATTTTTTTTTAAAATCAGAATTCCATTCTGGAACCTGTACCAATCTGATGCTATTAGTATAACATTTAAAAACTGTGTTGACGTAATTGATCACATATTGCTGAGATTTGTTTTAGTTCACAAATTGCACATTTATTTAATACAGTACAAAGTCTGTAATCTGGATGTCCATTATCCGGAATAATCTATAATCCGAACCTCAAAGCCTTAAACTTTTTTTTGTATGTTTTTCTCATGCACGTTTAATGTATAATGCACGGAATAAGCGAGGCTAAAATTATCTTTACTGATTCTGAAGCATTTCAGTTAATGTTGCAGATTGTGCTGTTCCTTAGTCTTCTAATTTGATCCGATTTATTATTTTTTGCTGACTGTTAGAGCAATTTTATAAATATCAAGCTTGAACTTTCTATTACGTCAAAAAAAAAAAAAAAAGGTTCCAATTCTGGAGCTGCCAAAGGATCTACAAAGCGAAAGCATGCTTTGATGTCCATCAAACAAAAAGTGGAATTGCTGCAAAAAATGGATAAAGGCGTATCCATCTCAAAATTATGTGAGGAGTATGACATTGGAAAGTTAAATGTATATGACATAAGCAAAAAGAAAAAGGAACTTTTTGAATTTTTTGTAGATTCCGACACCCCACTTGCAATGAATAACAGAAAAAGGGTTCATTATGTTAAAAATCACGATCGTGACAAAGTGATGATTGAATGGGTCAGACAATGTCGCAGCAGGGGCATGCCATTGACGGGTCCAATGCTTATGGCTCAAGCCAAAATATTTCATGAAGAAATTACTTAAACACTGAGGGCACATATTCAACAGGTTGGTTAACCAAATTTAAAAATCGCCATGGTATAAGACAATTAAACATTTCAGGTGAAAAAGCTTCAGCTGATACTGAAGCTGCTGATTTGCAGATGAATTCATTGAACTCATTCCTAGTGAACAATTATCTCCAGAACAAATTTACAATGCTGATGAAACTGGTCTTTTCTAGCAATATGTACCACGAAATACCTTGGCAACCTCTACAGAAAAAGCTCCAACTGGTGTCAAAGATTCCATTAAGCTAGACTTAACAATTTTAGCATGTCGCAAATGCTAGTAGGAATGCACAAGTGCAAACTTTTTGCAATCGGAAAAAATGCACGAACCTTGAGCATTTAAAGGAGTAAAGATTTTCCTTGTTATATATCGTGCAAATAAAAAAGCATGGATGACACAAGCGTTGATAAATGATTGGTTTGAAAATCATTTTATACCTGAGGCTCGGCGACATTTGAATTCGGTTGGTTTGCTTGATGACTCAAAAATATTCCTGATTGTTGACAACTGTTCACTTAAAGTTTTAGTGAAAAATAATGTATCTGTATTATTCTTCCCTCCAAATTGTTCGTCTATCATTCAGCCTATAGATATGGGAATAGTGCATGCACTGAAATGCAAATATAAAGTAGCCTTTCTAAAATCTGTTAAATTTCTTGAACAAGGCCAAGACTATTCAAGACTTTCTGAAATTTTTTAGTATAAAATCTGCTGTGTGGAGCATCGCAAGATTGTGGGAGAATGTTTCTCCAGATATGTTAAAAAATGCTTAGCATAATTTATGGCCAGCTACCATATTTCATGGTGAGGATGATGAAAATGATAGCGGCGAATTTGAAGGTTTTTGGATATCACAAACCACGTGTGAAAGGTGAAACTTTCCAGTTATTGGATTTTGTAAAGAAATGTTGAGAAGTGGTAATAAATGAAGATGATATAACAGAAGTTTTTCATTGCTAGGCAATTCCCCAATCATCAATCAATTAACGGACAGTGAAATCTGTAGTATGGTTCTAGATCCAGAAAATACCGCTGCCGATAGTGAAGAAAGTGACAGAGAGGTTATTGAAAATGAAAAAATTTCGATTGACAAGTTAGTTGGTATTTTCGACAAACAATTACAGGACTTGTACAGTGGAACTTTGTAACTGAACTAGAAATTTTATCTGTTTATAGAATTAAAGAGAAAGTATTAACACAAAAAAAGAAGCAACTTAAACCACTTACATTGAATGAAATGTTTAATAAAGTAAACAAATAAATATTAAGCTGTTTTTTTTTTTTGTAAATTTTGATACCCTTTAGATCATAATTGCTCTTTACTTCATAAACTACGGATTCATATTTTTAATTGTATAATTTCTTCATGCCATCTTACCAGATTTAAATTGATGATCTATAATGCGGTAAACCCCTAATCTGGAAGTCCCAATGAGTCCGTCTTACGGACTTTGTACTGTATAATATATGGTGTATAGAAAATTTAATTCCTATTCTGCAGACCAGCTTCACGATATGAAGGACATACATGTGAGAAAATCCAAACTTTTTATTTTGAAACATCTTAAAAAATGCTGAGTTGTTTTATTTTCAAGCTAGTATCATTCCTTTTCTTTTTGTTTAACAATATTAATTTCATCTTTTTTTTTTTTTTTTTTTTTTTTGTCTTTGAATGTGTATGTACATGTGTTTATGTATATAATCAAGAAAGTTAAAAAAGTTCAGAAGCTAACTGATTAAAATAATATCTTTAACCCTTTTCGGATGGGCACCCCATATATGCATTCTCTATGAATGTCTCTCACAGCTGGGTGTCTCACTCATGTATCACTAGATAATGTGCTCAGGGGATGGGTGATGGATATGTGCATTTTAAGCTGAACCATTTTTTAAAGACGCTGAGATGACATCCCATGTCCATTACTTTTGAACTGAACATAGTTTTTGGATCCTATTATCAGCCGATAGATGGCATTGTAGAAAAGATATAGGGGATAGGGGGCGCACGATGCCAATCGAGAATCAGGAAGCGAGATAATGTGATTAAGGCTAAGAATGTTCCGTAATAATATGTATATGTTTACTGTAATAATAATGAACTTATAAAATGCAAGAGTTATCCTGATTGAATGAAAAGTGAAAGCCCAACTTACCCCTAGTCGTCGTGAGATTAATAACGGAGATTAAAGCTAACATTTGAGAAGCAGGATGATTGATGCAAACACACATTGAATGACTCGCGTCTAAGAGCGTGGAAGAAGGGGTAAGTTTCGTTTTTAAAAATTTGAATTCATGTGAACTGTAGAATAATTCTAACAGAATATAGAATTTAGAAGTATAGAATTGTATTACAGTAAGACCCCGCTTAACGTGGGGGATACGTTCCATCGAAGTAGAGCGTAATGCGAAACAGCACTAAGCGAGGCTATCTTAACATGTAAATAATGGGGTTAGGGGAAGACGGATAAAAAATGGTTAGGCATTAAATTTAATAATTTTTTTTAATAAAAATAAAATCAAACATTTATTACTTACACAAATAAAAAGAATATAAACGCATATACTTTTAAAAACAAATAAAATTCTCAGTCAGATCATTCAGTCTATTCTGGGTTTCCAATTTTCTGCCTTTTTGTTAAGAAGGCATTATGATAGATTGGCTTAATGGCATATTGCGTTCAATTTCGTCGTCAATCCATATAGACAGTCGTTTTCCCATTTTCTCTATAATGTTATTTCTAGAACGGGTAATTCTAGTTGCAGAGCTTGACGCAGTTGCAGTTGCCGATGACAGTATTTTTTCTTTATTCTTAAGAATTGTCCTTATTGTTGAAGTTACCAAAATCAATGCAGCACTAATTTGAGATTGACGTTCACCAGAATCTAATCTTCTAATCACTTGCATTTGAGTTTCCAGTGAAATGCTTTTTCTGGTTGCTTTCTTTTCTTGTTTTTTATTATCACCCATGATAAAAACTAAAGATCATAATATTTGTCACTGTATTAATCGTTATAGTATTATACAAATTTAAACTTACAATAATGTCAACAAATGTTTCAAATGATAAAAATGCGTCCACCAAGCAAGAAACACAACTACACTGTTTCGGATATGTTATTTGGAATCCTAGCGCTGCACTCAATTTCGGAGAATCCCCGGGTTGAAATAAAAGAGCGCTAAACCGAAACAGCGTTAAGCGGGGTCTTACTGTATTTGTTAATATTATGGATGAGAATACAAAGAAAGCTTTAGATAAAGCAAAAATGAAACGTAAAACTTTAAGAAGGTTAACAACACAAGTAATTAACAGAATATCTGAATTATTGGAACAGGATATTGTAGATACAATATCATTAGAAGAATGTGAGATGAATCTACAAGAAAAAGCAGATCAGATATTTAAGTTAGATCTAGAAATTGAGAATTTAAATCCTGAAGTATCTGATCTGGAAACAGAAGTAAAAAATAATCAGGAATACAGAGAACGTATCATCTACACGAAATCGAAAGTCAAGAATTATCTCCAGAATTCAGACAGAAATAAGGCAGATTTGTCTTTGAAAATAATTCTTCATTTATTTCGAATAGTGAACCAGATAAACTGAGAATAAATTTGCCGAAACTTCATGTAGAACCGTTTGAGGGTAATTTAGAGAAGTTTCAGGAATTTTGGTCACAGTTTGATAATGTGATTCACAGTAACGAATGCTTATCTAAAGTAGATAAATATAATTATCTTAAAGCTTTCTTGAAACGACCAGTCTTAATTAGTATTCAAAGACTATTGGTATCAGATAATAATTATGATTTAGCAGTTGAATTGCTTAAAGAAAGATATGGGAAAAAAGAAATTATTGTAAGATTTCATATTAACCATTTGTTAAATTTAAATGCCGTAAAATTGGCTTTGTATTTGAAACAGTTAAAGGAGTTATACGATACGATAGAAATCCAAGTACGGGGTTTACAAACTCTTGGTGTTGAACTGAATTCATATGGAAGTTTGTTGTTTCCACTACTAACCAAACTTATTCCAGATTCATTGTGCTAGATTTTTATGGACAGCATGAAAAAGACGATTCTTGGAATGTAACAGAATTAATAAAATTT